CTGTGTCGGTTATAGACACCCCAGCCTTCTCTGCCTCAGCCCTGCCCCACCCTCCCATTAGCCCTTGGCCAAGGCGTAAGTGTTTCTGCTTTTATCCCTGTACTGATTACATGCGGCGCACAGCTTAAACTCTTGGTAGGGGCTCAGTGATCAGGTGATGAGAAGCCTTGGACTCCGGATCCTGCGCCATCTTGGGTACATCTGGAATATTGTGCTCACATTTAAGAAAAACCTTTTCTGACTCACCAGCATGCTTCCAGAGGATGGCAGCCAGGGCTGTGTGGGGGCTGGAAACTGTCTCATGAGAAACAGTTAAGCAAGGGAACCTTTAATCGGGAGCGGACTCAACGTTAGCTTCCCATGGAAAGGAGCACAGACTCTCCTTGTGGGACAGAATTAACACTTGTAGGATGTGGGTTTCAGCTCAGTATAAGCGAGAACTTTGCAGTACTAAGCATTGTCTGCTGGCTGTTGATAGCTATCCTTTACTGAGCACAGCTCTCCTTTAGGTTTCATGGTAAGTGTACACTGTCTCATTTAATCCTCACACCCACCCTATAGATTTAAGTTTTGTTTCCCTCATTTTAAAAGTGAAGCAGAGACTTAGGTTTAGTATCTGGTGCAGAGTCACATAGGTGATGAATGGCAGAGCTAAAACTAGAACTAGAACTGGATCTGAACCCAGAGCCCACCCTCTTAACCACTTCCTGCTGCTCTCAGAAGGGTTGAATAAGGGCAGACTAACTACCTTCCAGGGGTGCTGCAGAAAGACCCCTGCTTACAGGGAGTTGTGCTGTGCTGCCCTGACATCCTGTGACCTCTGGTCTCCTCCTCACCTGCAGCACACTGCCTTCAGTCTGCAGTGCAGTGTGGTGCCACAGCCTCCAGCAAGCCTTCTTCTGGCAGCCCGTATGCAGCACACAGGGGCCATGACTCCTTGGCCTTGACTGTGCTCAGCCGTGTGCTGCACTGCTCCCCTTCGGAGTGCAGCCTCCCTTCACAGGGCCAGGGACTGGCTCTGCCATCTCTCCTTTCCGCCAGCACCCAGCATGGCTACTTCACATGGTGGACATCTCTTCTGGTCGCTCTCTCACAGCTGGCCCCACATGATATCTGATGCATGTTTCCTTCTAAAATCCCAGGATAGAATATGTAACAGTGACTCCAGAAGGATTCCGGTACCGGGGCCAAATTTTCCCAACTGTGAATGGACTCTTCAGGTGGTTTAAGGATCATTACCAGGATCCTGTACCAGGTGAGTTCTAGTCTCCTCTGACTTCTGGGGTGTGACTAGAGGGACACCGAGGGCCTGACTCAAAGTAATCACTGGCCTCTGGGAAAGTGGGTGAGGTGTGGGCTGTCATTGCAGCTATCTTCCTCCTACCCCAGCATCAGAGAGGGCCTCCACCCACCGTGTCCGTATGGCTTCTCTTCCTCCACCTACCTCAATACTTCTTCCAGCCCCCTGAATTGGGAAACCAGAAATAGATTTCTGGAGGAACAGAACTAACTCTAGCCATTTCCTATAGGCATCACCCCCAGTAGCAGCAGCAGGACCCGGACACCTGCCTCTATCAATGCTACCCCAGCCAACATCAATCTTGCAGGTAAGGAGCTTAGGCCTGGGACTGCGGGTGGGAGGGATGGAGCCAAAGGGACTTTCACCTCTCACACGCCCATCGCCTCCTCTGTGTGCTTACAGATCTGACACGGGCTGTGAACGCCCTGCCCCAGAACATGACTTCACAGATGTTCAGTGCCATTGCTGCCGTGACAGGCCAAGGACAGAACCCTAATGCCACCCCAGCCCAGTGGGCCTCCAGTCAATATGGCTATGGCGGCAGTGGAGGGGGCAGCAGCGCTTACCATGTATGTGACTGGGAAAGGAGGCTCCCTGTGCAGGGTGGTAAGGAGGGAAAGGAAACGTCATCCTTTACCAACCCATGTCCCATAGATTGGCCTCTAGCGGTGCCCATTGCAAGGGACTTCATCTGCATAGATGGGGCTGCCACAGCCATAGGAACTATTTCCAACAGATGTTCTTTTTCTTCAAGCCTTTTGAGAGGGAAGGGAATAGAGAGGGCCTGACCTTTCCAGAGTCCTTTGGGATCTTTGGAATCCTAAAGGCACGAGAACACTGGTGAGGTCAGGAACAGTGGGCCCCATCATGTGCCAGGTGTCATCCCACTGGCCTCCCTCTGCTACTCAGAATCACAGGCTGCTCAGGGGTCAGCTGGAAAGCTCTGTGCTGAACCCACCCTCGCAACCTTCTGGAAGTTCACAGCAAAGCCAAACAGGCCCCAAACCTGTCTCCACTTAACTGTTCATGCCTCTCCAGGTGTTCCCAACACCAGCCCAGCAGCCAGTGGCCACACCACTTTTGACCCCCAGCTACTCCTACACAACCCCAAGCCAGCCCATCACCACACCGCAGTACCACCAGCTACAGGCCAGCACCACCCCACAGTCTGCCCAGGCCCAGCCCCAGCCCTCCTCCAGCTCCCGGCAACGGCAGCAGCAGCCAAAGTAAGTATGTAGACGGGAGCGCAGAGCAGGTTTTTAGTAGGGGCTTAGCATAAGCAGGTGCTCCAGATCTTCTGAGAGCCATGACCCACGTGGTGACCCAAGGGGCACTGGTTTCTGGGGGAGAACAGGATAAGGCAGTGTGGCAGGTGGCCACTGCTGCTTCTACCTCAGCCAGCAGAGGGGCTGCTGCCCAGAAGTGTGAGGTCCCTTTCTGCAAGGGTGAGCGCTCACCAGTGATTGGTGGGAAGGCTTCCTTCTATTGAGCCCCTGGAGAGTCCCAGTCTCAAAGATACTTTCTTCCCCCTCCCAGGTCCAACAGCCATGCAGCCATCGACTGGGGGAAGATGGCAGAGCAGTGGCTGCAGGAGAAGGAAGCAGAACGGCGGAAACAGAAGCAGCGGCTGACACCACGGCCCTCCCCCAGCCCCATGATCGAAAGCACCCCCATGTCCATTGCTGGCGATGCTACCCCACTCCTGGACGAGATGGATCGGTAGGGGGTCTGCTCCTCGAACTCTGGTTACCTCTGAGGCTGCAAGAGGCCTGGCCGCCCACTGCCTCACTCCCTGCCCCTCCTTTTCTGTCCATAAAGTGGCGTGGAGTGACATTCTCTTTGGTGGTCAGCCTGGATGGTGACAGGCTGGATAGCCTTGCGAACTTGAGCTCAGTGTCCGCCAGGCAACAATTCTCCCACTCCAGACCCTCACCGACCATCTTTCCTGGGATCAGGCTAGGAGGGAGTGTGGTGGGGAGGACGAGAGGGTGAAGAGAACGAGTGGTGGAGTTGCGTGTTCTACTCCCTCCAAGCCATCTTGAGCTTCTGCCCTCATCTGACTCTGGGCTGTGACCGCGGCACCAAGCTCAGCACGTGAGTCTCCCTGGCTCTCCTGGGGAGAGGGATGCTATTTATTCACTTTGGGGCAGTAGGGAAGGTATTTCTGACCCTGATGCCAACAGCTTGGGTGGCTGTCAAAGCAGGATTGCAGGGGACATAGATGGGCAGCAGTAACCTGCCCAGCCCCTGCCTGGCTGTCCTCCCCTACCTGCTGCTGCCGCTGCTTCCTGCCTGTCATTTGAATAAAGTGTTTCTACAGAGCTCTTGCCAAAACCTCTCTCTCCAACTCTCCGGCTCTTTGAGAGGTGGCTTTCAAAGCAGCATTTAGCTCTGAGGGCTCCCGACTCCCTCTTCCCGTCCATTGGAGAGGCTTCTGCATCTCACTTCCTGGGGTTATATTCATGCTCTACTTCTTCCTAGCCCTGTGGCCTGCGTCAGCTCCTATTATCTTCAAGCTGGCTTTCTTGTCTGTAAAATGCAGATAGTAATACTCACCTCATCAGGCTGCTGTGAGGACTGAGAACAGAGCGTGTGTGAACTGCTTAGGCCTGTGTCTGCTACCTCAGTAATGTTAGCTGCTGTTATTACACTCACTCACTCACACACAGCCACCCTATTCACTGTGCCTGCTACTCTTCTTTGGCATGTTGGAGAAAGACCACTGGTAAGTCTGGGTTTCTCAGTCTGAGCCCTGCACCTCCCTCTCTTCCCTTTTCCCAGCCAGGCCTTGCTCTCTGATAGCCTCTAAGCAAGTCAGGTGTTTCTGTCCCAGGATGGGTCCCACAGTCATCTGCTCCTACACACATGCTGGCCCAGGAAGAGGGAGCTGGGATGTTGCAGGGCCGTTTTCCACCCAGCCCTCTGGCCTTTGTCCCTTCCCCCAGCCCCACTGCCTGTTTTGTTCTGGACTCCTGATCTCCCTGTTTCTTCACAAGGGCTTAGTCTCATGGCTTTGTGAGTCAGCACAGAAAAAGTGAGGCTCCCCCTCCCTTTCCTCTGCTTGGGGCTCAGCAGAGAAGTCAGAAAAGGCCACTGCCATCAAGATTTGGAGAGCTCCCTTCCCTTGCTTTCCTTTGTTCAAAATCTCTTTTGCTGTGTATTGGCAAAAGCTGAGAGAAGGAGCTGACCCTCTGCCAGGACCTCAGTTCTCCCTGCAGCACAAAAGGTCTGCAAGGGTCTAGCAGGAGCAGGACCACGCCAGCTGGGAAGGTCATGTCCCCTGTGGTGCCACTAGCACCTTCCCCAGGACTACTTGGAGGAAGGAAAAGCTAGGCACAGTGGGACAGAGTGGGTTGAAAGCTTCAGTTTATTGGGGGTATCACTGCAGACAGTACTGCCTATCCCAGAAATGGATTTCACACAGACCAGTCTCCCAGGACAGGGGACTCCCTTTCTCCCACCCCAACCCAGATGGATTCTTGCCCTAGTCCTAGAATGTTACAAAGAAACAGACCCATTGTGGGGCTGTGTTCCTCTCCTTCCCTCTCACCTACCTTCTTACAGGCTTCATCCTTGAAAGCTGGATTGCCCATTGGATATCCCCTAGGGGATAGCCCCTAGGCTCCAGCTAGGCCCAGAGCCCATCCTCTACCCACAAGAAGTAGCCCAGTCGGAGGGGGAAGAGAACAGCAGCAGGGAGTCAGCTACAGGCTTGATCGCATTTATTTTTCACCCTGAATGCCCTGGCCTCAGCTGAGATTGGGGTTTGATACTGGGGGAGATTTTCTTTTGTTCACCTTTTTGGCTTGTGAGGTCTTCGCCCCAGTCTTCTTGGCCTGGACATTGTTCTCTCTCTTCCTGGACAGTGAAGATTCCATAATATCCTCACTGGAGGGTTCCTCCTGCCCCTGGTCATTGTAACTGTCCTCACTCTCCAGCTCTTCCCGGCTTTCTGGGCTGGACTCTGACATCCTGGCCATCTCTCTTGGACTTGCCGATCGGCTCAAGTTTGGTGGTGAAGACACCAATTTAACTGGACTTTTCTTCTTAGTCAACTTGCCTTTCTTGACTTTTTTCTTCAGCTTTGCCTTCTCATCCATCTCCTCCTCCTTGTCTTTCTCTTTTTCCTTTGTCTTCTTTACCTTCTTGATCACCTTGCTGACCTGGTTCTTACCCATGGGGCTCTCAGAGCGCCAAATGGTGATGGGAGCTGCTGAGTCAGGGACACTGGTGACCATGCTATTGGTTGGCTCAGTGTGTGGTGTGGTGGTGGGCCCCACCTGGGTGGGGATGGGAGGCTTGCTTTCTTCCTCCTCCTCCTCCTCCTCCTCCTCTTCATTTGGGTCATCTGCCCCACACTTGTGGTGGAGGGGATGGTGGATCACTGCCACGGAGATAGGCCTGTATCTTTTGCACCTGGGAGGAGGGGGACAGGGGGAGAAGGTTAACAGAGTAGGGAGTAGTGCCCTGCAGAGGCTCCTTTCCCCATCAGCCTGCCAGCACTCACCAGCCATACCAGATCCTCTCCATGCACGCTTCCTCTGGGATGAGCTCAAGGCAAGGGGACTGTATGATGTTGAAGCAGGTTGGGCCCACATCTCGGGAGCAGGTTGGGCCCATGTCTCGGGAGCTGCTGCTATTTGTCTTCTCTGAGCAGTTCTTCAGCCTGCCACACATGGGACTCTCAGCCTCGCTCCCACCCCTCCCTGGCTCCTCAGGGGCCCACAGTGAGAAGCCTGAGGGACAGTGGGCTTCCACTGGGCTCGGCCCAGGCTGCCAGAAGACCTCCTCCCTATCACTCTTAGGAGGAGCAAGGTTTACAAAGCTAGGGCTGGGCTGGCAGCACCCGGTCAAAGCTGAGGAGGGAAACCGAAGGTTGAAGAGGGGAACCGCAATGAAAGTTTGGACCTGGTTCTGCCATGGGTTCCCCAAGGAGGGGGCCCTCACCTAGAATCACAGTCACAGTGGCCAGCAGAGTGTAGGTGCATGCTGTGGTAGCCATAGTCAGGGGTGAAGGGGTAGATGATGTGCCCAGTGCACTGCTTGTGTTTCCAGCAGCAGCTGTCAGTCTCCTTGCATTCACCTAAGTGGGAGGGATCTGGGTCAATCAGGGGTAGCAGCAGCACACCTCTGGGTCTCCCCACAGCTCAAGTTAAAGGCCTCACCAAATCCACCTGCCACCCCACCTACCCCCACCCCCCTGCAGCTATTTCTGCTTCACTAGTAGTAACTCCAGGTCCCAACACTGCCCTTTCCCCAGTCTACTGCCTGAGTTTGCCTGCCCTTGCAGATTCCCAGGAAAATGTCTGGTACAGAGTCTGATACACAGGAGGTCCTCACCAAGTCCCCCCTTGCTGTCCTGTGACACCCTGCCACTTCCCGCCCCTCTCGGGCTTTGCTGACTCCTGCCTGCCCCTCGCCCCACTGCTCAGAGTCGTCAGCCACCCTGCTCCACAGGCGCCCTGGTAGTGAAAGGCCCTCTTGCCCCGGCAGACTGGAGCCCCAGGAGCGATTAGAGCCAGCAGCAGCATCCTCAGCTCCAACGCCTGCCCTGCACAGGCCCAGGAAGCCCATGTCTGACCCCTTACAGCATCTGATGCCACTCCACCCCTGGAGGCCTGTAATGGCACGGTGGCCCAGGCCTGGAGAGAAACCAAGACCTAGTCCACTCCACAGCATGCTTCTTGCCTTCTCTTTCTGACTCTGTCCCTCCCCTCTCTTTCTCCTCCTCCTCCCTCCTCCAAGCCCCTTTTTCTTTTCCTTCCCACTTTTTCACTTCTGTCCCCTCTCCCATGGCCCATTTCATGATTCTTTGCTCATCAAGCTCCCATTCTCCCCCTTTCTAGACCCTAGAGCCACAGACGTTTGAATAACCCACCCCCAGCCTGCGCTGCTCCATCCCTGTTTAGGCAGCACAGGAAGAAGCTGCTGGGGTGAGAATGTGGGGTTAGGTAAAAGCCCTGGAGAGAGGCTCCCACCTCTTGCTCAGCTGAAGCCAGTCCTAGAGACACAGGAGTCTCCCAGGCCCACCCCCACTGTCTCACCTCTGACTGTGCCTGAGGCCCAGGTCACCTGCTGAAAGGTAAACCTATTAGGTGACTCCACGTGCCTCTCAGCTCAAGAGCCCAAGGTCTCACACAACAGGCAGAGGACAAAGGATCTCATTGCAGGTCCCCCTGGGCATCAGCTCCCCCCACCCCTGGGAGGAAGTGAATGGGCAACGATGAGTTCCCTGGCAGCCTGGCATGGGGTGCTGTAGCTGGCTAACTCCCTCAAACAGGATGTGAGGACTGTACCTTTATCCAGCCCCCACAAAGGGTGGAGGTGGGGCGAGACCTCACACTGGCCACAGCCAAGAATTAACCCAGGCCATTGGTATGTTAGTCCAAGTGCCTTAAAGAGCTTGAGAGATGAGACAGCAGCTTGGTCTGAGGCTTATCCCCATTCCTTCTTCTTTCCCTTCCCCCAACAAGGCTGAGAGTCCCAGGTCCCCATTATACCTCTGACCTACTTGGTGACCTCTGTTTCTCCCTCCTCTCCGCTGTGCCCTGTCTTTATCCCCAAGGGAAATAAGGCATGTGTGGCAAAACTTTGGAACATCACCACCACCTCGGGTTTCTTCAGCACTGCTGAATTGGGGCAAAGGGCAGCATAGTAACAAGTGCCCCGAACTTGTAGTCAGACCGGCCTGAGTTCAAGTCTTCACTCTGTCACTAGCTGGGTGACCTAGGACAAATTACTTTACTTCTCTGAGCCTTGGTTTCCTTATCCACAAAATGGGATGGTGGTAATACCTATTTTGTGGGGTCACTGGTAAAACTGAATTCACATATGTCAAAGATATTTATGTTCCAAAAAATGCTATACAAAGGAAAGGGGTGATTTTGGCCTTGAGAAAGGGACCCTCTCTGGTATGAGGTGGGGGTAGGGCAGCTGGGTAACCCCCTCAGGACCAAACACTTCCTTCCTTCCACCAGGTGTCAGCTTTCCTAAGTGAGGAGTGGTGGGGTCCCCTGGGACCAGAGGTCCCCTGGACCTACCTTCAGAGGAGTAGGTAGACACATCAGTGCTGGATGCCACACCAGCCAGCAGTTGTCCTCTCTCCCAGCTGGGTAACCTGCTTATATCTGAGAAAGTACAGAGCGGCAGTAGCAGCAGCCCTCCCCTTGCCATTCACTCACCAAACATTTCCCGAGAAGCTCCAGTGTTCAGGCCCAGCTGCATCCTGGAGATGCAGAGATTTTAAAAAAAACAAGTCCCTGCTCTCAAAGGGCTGAGGAGAGAGACACGGGAATGTCTGTGAACAGTAGTGTGATGTGGATGCTGATAGAGAGGGAAATGGTGGGAGCCCAGAACTTGGGCCACCTACTGAAACTGGGGAGGGGGACGACAGGGGATTATGTAAGACTTCTTGGAAAGAGCATCATTGGAGCTGGAGTGTTAGATAGGAGTGAACCAAGGTCTGGACAAGGGCAGCTTCAAAACTGCCCCAGCATGTATGGAGCCTAGTTGAAGGGTGTCCCTGAGCAGATCTCCAACTGGGGCAGCAGTTCTCTCAGTTATCAGCAACCACAGGGTAGAGTCTACCAGTCTCCCTTTCCTTCCCCAAATTAGGTTTGTCCCTTGAGACACTGGACTTGAGCCCTGCTTAAGGAAGGCCTCAGTGGGCCTTCAGTGGCACTTGGTCAACCTTCTACAAGTCCCTGGTCAGCTCCTCCTGTTTTCCATAGCACAGTAAGTACTCAAAATTTATTAAACAGGGCCGGCCTATAGCTCACTCGGGAGAGTGCGGTGCTGATAACACCAAGGCCACGGGTTCGGATCCCATATAGGGATGGCTGGTTAGCTCACTGGCTGAGCCTGGTGCTGACAACACCAAGTCAAGGGTTAAGATCCCCTTACCGGTCATCTTCTGAAAAAAAAAATTTTATTAAACAAATGAACAAATGAATGAATGAATGAATAACTTCAAGCACTTTCTGGAATCTCCTGTATCACTACTGCTCCTCTCAGTAGGTCATTTCACCAGCATTATCTGTGGATGCTCCCACGCTCATCAGCTCCTCCAGCTGGAGAAGAGGTATCCCTTCTTCTCTTGCCCAAAGCATCTATACTCTAGGTCCTAGCCAAAATTGTTACCCTCTCCCTCTTTACTGGCTTTTACTTTTTTCCTACAGGCTATGAACTTCTTTACTTTTTGTTTGTTTGGGGTTTTTTTTGGCAGTTGGCCAGTAAGGGGATCCGAACCCTTGACCTTGGTGTTATCAACACCACACTCGAACCAAGTAAGCTAACCAGCCAGCCCTGAACATCTTTAAACAAAACACTCTATCAACCGTGCTTCTCCCTCTACCAGTGCATATCCCTCACCCCCTTCCTTTTCAATCCAAGTTTATTTACTCATTAATTTAACAAATGTATATTGGATAACTTCACTAGGCACCAGTGAAGGAGGCTCAGTCTCTACCTTTCTTCCACTCCAGCCACCTGCAATGTGACAGACATCCACCTCTCTATCAGAATAGCCTAACAAAGGCCACCAGCAATTTCCCAATAGCCAAACCCAGTGGCCTCCTTTTCATCTCATCTCACTTGACCTTGTTGACCAATCAATCTCTTTCTTCTGCGAACAGTTCCTTGGGCTTCCATGACAGATTCATCTTTCTCTTCCTTCTCTAGCCCTTTAGTTCTTTCCTCCTCCCCTGCTGTCTCCTCTTCCTTTGCTGTATTGCTTAAATTGGTGATTGCCAGGGTTCTGTCTTTGGCCACCTCCTCAGAAGACTGTACAAGCTTATCCCAAATAACGTCATTCATTTCCATGGTTTCAACATTCATCAAAAAAATGACATAAGTCTGGGTCTCTAATTCAAACTGCTTTCCTTAACATATAGCCAATATCCTCTTGGACATTCCCAAAACATCTCAAAGTCAGTATGTTCCACAGTAACGTACCATCTTCTCTCTACCGCCCATGAACCTCCTCTTTCTTGTATCTTTCATCTCAGACAGCAACAGACATCTTGGTTATAAATCTAGGGATCATCCTTTCCTGAACTTCCACGCCAACTTGATGACCAGGTCTTGCCATGGTTACTTGCGCCCACATCTGCCTATGTCTTGGTTCAGAACTGCATCATCTCTGACCCAGACAGCTGCAGTAGCCTCCTGCCTGGGCTCTCTGCCTTCTCTCACTACCCTCATCCAGCCTTCACAATGCAGCCAGACTGAGTTTCTAGAATGTCAGTTTGTCTACCATATTCCTCCTTTTCAACAGCATCCCACTGCCTTCAAGATGAAATGCAAACTCCTTATCATGACATGACATGCCCCCCAGAACCCAGGCAGGCCCTGGTTCCTTCCTCAGTTGTCAGTTCCTTCCACCTATCCATCCCTCCTCTCACCCCTCCTCCATGGCTTCTCATTTCCGACTTCTGGGAAACACCTGCTCATCTTGGAAAGACCAATCCTATCCAAGTAGAATTGGTCAAGTACATCTTGTGCCCCTTTATCCTGCCATAGTACCTGGAACTTGTAACATTCCTGTATTTATAGCTCCTTGAGAACAAGGCCTTCCTGGCTCCATAGCCTGTGCACTTTCAGCCCTGTCTACTTACTGTTGGCTGGGGAGACACACATGTAAGCAAAGTCAAAACCACATTCAGTTCTCTATCCAAAACCTGTCCTTCCAGCTGTCACCTTTTTTTTTTTTTTTGGTGGCTGGTATGGGCTTCTGAACCCTTGACCTTGCTGTTATAACACTGCTCTCTAACCAACTGAGCTTACCAGTCAGCCCTGTCACCTCTTTTAACACCTCGTTTTCAACTTCAACACTGCCAATTCCTCACCATCTGGTCTTATTCAGTCCTGACTCCACAGCTCCCTTATCCAGGCTGTACCCTAAGCATGCTGCGCCAGGATTCAAACTCTGCTCTGTGTGACTCCACTGGCCTTGCTCTCTTTAGAGTCACCATTAAAGAGGCCCCATACGCACGGTTAGAGCCTGTTTATTTTCCACAACAAGCCCTGAATACCCACAACAAGCCCTGACACCCATGAGATCTGTAGAGGGGAGGAGGGGACGAAGGACAAAGGGGAAGAAGGATTTAGTAACTCTCCTCAGATGTGAGAAAGGCTATCTGCTCTTTATTTCCACAGAGGACAGGAGAGCTCCTGCAGCATGTGTGATTGAGGTAGGACACAGAAGGGACTTCATCATGACTGAGGAGAGTGATAGCTTGAAAGGAAGAGGGAGGCCTGTGGTCTCTTTCTCAGCGGGGCATTAATAAGAGTGCCAAAGCCTAACTCAAAACTCACAGGTGATGCTCATTTGTACGGAATCCTCCCCGTCGTGTGGGGCTGAGGAGCTCCCCCCGCCCTTGCGGCAAGGGGGTGGGCACCGGAGCAGCAGAAATGGGGAGGGAGGGAGGGAGGAAGGGAGGGAGGAACCAAGGAAAGGGAGGGAAAAAGAGTAAAGGAGGGCAGTGCGCCCGAGTCTCCTTGGAAATGCGGCCCGGCCCCGCCCCCATTTGGAGGCGATTGTGATGTCACGCGTGGAACCCCCAGACTCCTTTCTGCCCTCAGGGAAAATGGAACCGCCCGCCCCAGCCCCAGCACCTGGGTGGGTGCTGGACCATGGGCTCCAGTCAAGCCCGGTGCCTCATGGGCCTGGGGCTGCGGCACAGTGGTGCCTTCCAGTCGTGCAGCCAGCAGTTGCAGCTCTTGCTCCCGCGCGACTACCGCAGCCGAACCCGCAGGCCGTCCTCCGCGGCCCCAGAACCCCACCCCTGAATCTAAATTGGTCCACGGCTCAACGTGAGCCCGCCCCAGCCCAGCCCTTGGCCCCGCCTCCTCTGTCAGGCCCCCAACCTCCCCTTCTACACCGGACTCGGCTCCTCCAAGCCAGGCCCCTGCCCCGCCCCCTCACCGAGGCGCTCGCTCTCATGCCAGTCGTCCCCGCACTCAGTCTTTTCCTCAGTCCATCTTTTCCTCGTTAGTGTCGTCCTGACCCACATGGCTCAGCCCAGGTCTTCGTCCCTATAGCCCCAGCCGTAAACTCCAGTCTCAGCCTCGCCCCAGTCTAGCCCCTAGCTGCGCCGCATGTTTGCCCGGCCCCCCGCCCGCCTCCCCCCACCCGCTCCAGCTTCGTTGTCCTCCCAGCCCGGACCTAAGCGTCAGCCGCGTTCTTCATCCGGGGCCTACCGACTCCTCCGAGACCCCTCTGTCCCACCTTGAACCCTCGAACCTCCTCTTTTATCTCCGGTCTTAACCCTACAGGCCCAGCCCTCAAGTCCTAGCCATCCCTGGTTCCTCTCCAGACCCACGTCTTAGTCCAAATCCCGGACATTAGCCCCGCCCCAGCCGTTCTCTAAACCTCACACTCCGGCCGGGCTCCCCGCCCCTCCGGACGCTTCCGAACCTAGCCGCAGTCCTCAGCCCTGCGGCCCGGGGGGGGGGGGGGGGGGCCCCCCGGCCCCCCCCCCCCCCCCCCGCGGGCGCGGGGGGCGCGGGGGCCGGCCGGGGGGGGGCGCGGGGGGGGGGGGGGCGGGCGGGGGGGGGGGGGGGGGAACGGCCTCCAGGCACCCTCATCACCACCCCGCCATCCCTGCCTCTCCCTCCGGCCTAGGCGGGGGGCTCAGGCGGAAGCCGGGCTCTCCCTCTCTCCGCCCACAGGCATCTCAACCGGAGCCCAGGACATGAACTCTCGCAAGAGGACATGATATCGGCTCCCAGCCGCCCTGTGGTGGCTCGATCCAGGGGCCACCCCCCAGAGTTGCCTCTCAGACCCCATGGAGCACCCCGCCCTACAGACGGTAGTGCCCAGTAAAGAGTCCATCTGTATTTCCATAGGCTTGTCCTGCCTGGAGAGCAGGGCAGGCTGCATTCATAATAACCTCATCCCAGTAACTCACCCCTTGCAGCTTTAAGTACAACATACACACATGCATATACCACACACAGTGCACACAGGAAATCTACTCGGCCTACACAGACTAATATAACATGCACACATGCACACGCCCCTGACACATCACACACAACTCCCCACACCCACACGTGCTCCCTACACCCCATGCAGTGCTAACTCTACACCAGGCTTCGCACACTCACATCGAGTTAACAGGCACTGTGCAAGGCCCGGGTGAGGAGTGCAATGCTGTGAGGGAACAGAGATAGAAAACACAATTACAGGAGAGTGAGAAAGAGTTAAGAGCCACATCGATGACATTCCATGCACCACACCCTTCAATTTCTCTTGGCACCAGCTTCCAAAGCCAGCATAGGCCTCAAACGACAGAGAGGAGAGGTGAGAATCGCGTTTAAACACTGGTTTTTCCAGGGTCATCAAGGGACCTCCTACTGTTGCTGCTCTTCCTGATCCCAACCTCACTTTCCTGCAGACCCCAGTCCTGAGTGGGTAGGGCCAGTGCCATATCCCCTACCCGCTGTAGCGCTAGAGAGTCTAAGAACAGCAAAGGAGGGGAAGCTAGGAGAAGGGAGGCAAGCAGAAAAGCCAGACCTTCCAGGATAGTGTGGCCCAGTGAGAATGGAAGCAGATATGGAACAGAGCACTGACCGACTGGCAGCCAGGATTTGTGTTCTAATATTGGCCCTCCCTGGCCTCCCAGAAGGACACAAGGCTACATATGTCTTCATTTGTTGGCCCAGATGTCTGAGGTACTTCCAGCCAATCTATGACTCCAGTCATATATCAACTGAGAGCTAGGGTCTTTTTTACTCTTTCCCATATAATAGTTAATAGTTATAGTAGTTAAGGTTTCAGAGCTTTTCCTATATGTGTGTTAATGTTTCTTCTTATTTCATCCACACAACCTAATGAATTCAGTATTATCAGCCCTATTTTACAGATGAGGAAATTAAAGCAAGGAGGAAAAGTGATTTGCCTGAATTCTCATCGTTAGTAAGGGTGGTCAGCAAGGATTCAAAAGCAAGTCCTCCTGACTCAAAGCACATCTTCTGAATATGAGCCAGGGTTCCTGCCCTTCCTGGGCCATCTGGTCAACCCAGAAAGTATCCAAAATTTAAAACTCATTGCTTTTCATGGTGTTCCCCTCTGAAAACTCTTTTTAAAAGGGAAGGCAGAAAAAGGGTAAAAAAGAAGATAGAAAGAAAGAAAGAGAGAGAGAGAAGAAAGAAAAGAAAAAAGAAAGATTCTAGTGGTGGAAATTTGGGTATAAGCACAAAGTATGAGGACACATTTGGGGGAAGTGACCAAAGGAAAGAGCTCTCAAAGCCAGCCATTCAGCTCTCACCCAGTGAGGGTCCAGTACAGCCCCCACAAGCCCGGTGTCTGAACCCTGCCCATAGGCCAGGGATGGCCAAAATCCCCGCAGGGGGCTCCACTCCCCACATGGCCATACACCGCTGCCCATTCTACATCCCATATCCTCAAAAAAGGATTCCAGCCCCCAAAGTGCTACTAACAAAGATTTTAATGCATAAGGCACAATGTGAGGCTGGATTCACTAGGTATCCTCATATCCAAAGGACCCAGCAGGCTGAGCAAAGCAACAGGGACACTCCCCACCCTACTACCACTGGGTACCCTGGAGAGCCCCCAGAGGAGCTGGGGGGCATCCAGTCTTTGGCATGGTGTCTGAGGGCAAGAAGTGACTAGCATGGTCCCAGCTACCCCTCTGGGGATATTGCCACCAAGGGGAAGCTCTTTGGTCTGGAAAAACAGTCAGTGCAAATGTCCAGGGGTCGAGCTCTGGGAGAGTGAGGGTGACCCAGTGCCCCAGGGCTGGGCAGTCTCTGGAGAGTCTCCTCAACCCTCATGGGCAACATGTGGGTTTCTTCTTGCTAGCAGTTAGGTAAAGATTGCCGTCATCACTGTTGATGCCTGAAGAAGGGTGGAAAATATGAGAAGCAGAAATTGGAGTGCTCCCCTTGTTCTCTGTCACCTCAACCAAGCAGGCACTCACGGACAACATCGCCAATGCGCCGGGCCCCCGATTTCTCCAGCTCAGCCAGCACGTTGGCCTCAAAGGTCAGTGCCGCCACACGGAAGAAGAATTCCCGGACGTTCTCACCTGACACAGAGAACGGATGGGTGCTCAGGGGCAGCGCCAGGTCTGGGGGCACTGGACACAGCTAGATATGCAGGAGTGGAAGGGGAGGTAGGCAGGAATGGCACAGCAGAAGGCCTGGAGCCTCTGACTCACCAGTGAGAGATGAGACTGCCCAGTACTCAGCCTTAATCTCTTGGGCTACCTTGAGTGCGTCTTTCTCCATTAGCGCATATTGAGCAGGAGTCTGAGGGAAGGTCAGAGTCAGATGGGGGGCATCCCTCACCAAGTTGGGAAGCCCCCACTCTGGCACACTCACACTCAGGTCCTTCTTGGAACCCACGAGGAAGAGAAGCACACTGGAAGGGTCATTCTCCTTGAGCGCATCAGCTAGCCACTGCCTGCCACAGACGGTGGGGGGATGAGGGATGAGGGAGCCTGACAGCCCCTCTCACCAACATTCATAAGTCCAATCACCCCCTCTGTGGTCCTAGGTGCATTCTGCCCTCACCACCCCTCTTTTCTGAACCTTCTCTTCCTGGATCCTCCCATGATATTGCTGCATCCCACATACTTGGTATGTTCCAAGGACGCCACATCATTCAGGTTGAAGACAATGATGATGGCTGGAAGAGTGGCAGAAAGAGCCCCAGGGTGAAGAGGAAGACACTACTGGCTCATTTCCCCAATCCCCCAGATCTAGATTAGAGGCCAGGTGCATTCTCAGGCCCACCCATTCCCCAGCCCCCTACCCTGAGCTCCTCGGTAGTAGGTTGATGCAATGCATTTGAACCTCTCCTGTCCAGCCGTATCCCAACTGGAAGAAAGGAGGAGTGAGGTATAGGTATGTGGGGGGATGGGGTGTAGGTGCTGGGGGAACAGATAGCTGGAAGGATGGAGGAAACACTCACAGCTGCAGACTGAAGGGGATGCCCAACACCTCAAATCGTTCCATCTCAAAGTCCACTCCGATGGTGGCCTTGTAATTCTTATCAAAAGTGTCTTTGCAGAATCTGAGGGAGCACCAGATGCTCTGGCCTGGAGCCTAGCCCAGCTGGCTAGGCTTGGCCCCACCCTGCCCAACCCAGACAAGCCCAGCTCCAGTATCCCCTTACCTATTAATAAGGCAAGTCTTCCCCACTGACAGGTCCCCCACCACAATGACCTTGGAGATCTTAAATCTGCTGGACACAAGAGTGGACATAGGGAATGGACATCAGCTCTTCCACCCTAGGGAGTTACAATGCTCCCAAGTAGGCCCAGAAATGTAGCTGTACCCAGGCTGAGGTTACCAGGCCTCTCAGGCAGCTACCTGGACAGGAGTGCTGGGGAGGAGTGTTTTGTGCTTCAGTATCAGAGAGACATGAAGTTGAATCCCAGCTCTCACACCTATTAGCTGTGTGACTTTGGACAAGTTACTTAGCCTCTTTGAGCCTCAGTTTCAACATTTGTTAAGTGGAGATTTCATATATATTTTATTGGGTGGCTATGAAGGTTAAAATGAAACAAATACTCTATATTCTAAGACACCCCTCCCCCCAATTTTAACATCTTTGAAATCAGGATGCATTTTACATGATATTTTCCATTCATTAGAAGACAAAAATAGTACCCAACACACTTCCTGGCACACAGTAAATGCTCAATTAATGGTGGCAAGTGTTATTAGTATTCCCTTTTTTAACCCACAATGAGACTCATCCCTGAAGGCACAGCCATCCCCCTACCCTGGGGCTCAATGCGGGGAGCTGAGCAGGTGACCACTTACCCATGTTGGACATCTTCTTTATGTCAGGAATCAAGCTGCCACTTTTCTACTCCACCCCATCTCAAAGGACTCATAACAATCTTGTGGAGCAGGGAGGAACCAGGGGCTTAAAAAGGGGGAATAACCATATAGCTGGCAGGGGCTGAAATGGAGCCCCAAAAGGGTGGTTGTGTACCCTTCCTATGACTACAGGGTTTCCCGGGACTTTCTTTCTTTGTTATGAGTGTGGCTAACTCACCCCACGGTGCCTGTCCGGTGCTCCTGGCAGGCGCAGGTGACGCGGGGGTGGAAGTCTTTGTGCATGTGCAAAGCGGCCTCCTTCCTCAGGCACTGAGTGAGAGAGATGGAAGAGAATGGGGCTCACCCACTCCTGGGCCTTGTCCCCCAGCCAAGCAGCCCGGGTGTATGTGGGGGAGGGGGACCACCCAGAAGCAGCAGGCCCAGCTGGGCTGCGGGGCTGGGCCCAATCCTCTAACTGGTTTGGTGCCGCCTCCTCCCCGCCCTGCCCGCCCACACCCCGCTGCAGCCAGAAGCCCAACGTGGCCCTGGCTCCTACCTGGGGCAGCTCTGCCAGGACGCGGTCTCTCCGCACGGGCGCCAGAATGTTCATCTTGCCTGCGGCCTTGCGGGGCGCCTTGAGAAGGCGCAGAGGCCTGGTCCTCCCCGACGACCCGAGCCCGTGGAGACCCGACAATCACCCGCGGCCGGGGTGTCCCGACTATAACTCGGGGCCACGGGGAGCCTACGGGAGCTCGCGGCCTCGGAGATGCTACGACCGCCGCGGGCCACGGGGATGAGACAATCACCCGGGGCCGGGGAGAGCCCACGATCACCCGAGCCCGGGGTGTCCCGAAGACGACTCGAGGGCGGGGAGACCCCTCAGCCGCCAATTGAGGGCGAGGAGTCCAGTCTGCGGGGGCCCGGGCCCGCGCAGACCCTACAATAACTCGGGGCCGGATGGTTCCTACAATAACCCGGGGCCGCGGAGACCCGACGACAACCCGGGGCTGAGACGGCCCTACCATAACAGAGCGGCCCGGCCCCGCCACACGGGGTCAGTGTGGGCAGGGGCCGCGCTGCCAAGGCCCGCGGGCCGCTCGAGGAGGGGGCGAGGGGCCCAGTGCAGCCGCAGGGCCTCGGGTCCCACTCCGCTGTGGCTCCGCCAACGCTGTAACCTGATCCCCGGAAATTCCTGGAGAAGGGCCGCCCCCCGCCCCTCTCCCTGCAGCTTCACGCCTCGCAGCCCGCCCTCGCCTCCCCGCTCCTGTCCTCCCCGCTGCGCTGCCCGGTTTTGGCTCCCCCGCCAGACGCCTCATCGGGCACCAGGACCGCACCCACCCAGGCTGGAGCCTACCCAGGCCGGGACCCCCCAGGCCACACTCCCCCGCACCCCTGTGCCGTGCTGCGCCTTCATAGGGACCCTTACCCGGCCAAATTGGTGATGGGGAGTCGGTGATTGCTGCGCAGCATCTGGCGAGGCCAGGAACCCGCAGGGAGGGGAAAGGGGGAGAGAAGGGGCCCAAGGAGAGGCGGCGCTTCCCTCCTCGACTTTAGGCCTGGGACGTGCGTGACACATGGTCTGCCCCCGCTCGCCCTAGGAGGTGGGGAGTGGGGGGGAGCGCGTAAAGGGGGAATTTCCGGCCGGAACGGGGTGCCCACTGAGGAGAGGGACGTCCAAAGTCTGGTGTCTTTTCCTTCAAGGCTCCTGTAAAGATTGGGGGGGGGGGGGGGGGGGGGAGATCAAGCTGCCTCCCTCGACGGGAGACTTTAATGTACAAGAGCTAGGCGGACCGGGACATTCCACCCTTTGGTTTGTTCATCGCTCCGGGACACGGGGACTCCCTTCTGGTGTGCGCGTTCATTGCCCTGGCCCGATTGGAATCTCACCCCCAAGGACAACTTTTCCTTTTTGCAGAGTCCTACAGGATAAAAGAGGGGTAGCGCACCACCAATTTCACTGTCAAAGGGGACATCTGGCTCCATAAGAGAAGGAGGAAGACAGAAAGGATGAAGTGGGGGTGGGTTAGGCACAGACCCTCACAGAAGCAAACCTGTGCATTACAAAACCTAGCTCTGTGTCAGGAGGTGGATATAAGATGCAAAGAAAACTGGGACAAAGGAGGAGACTGTGAGGGAAACTATTCACAGGAAGGACTAGGGAATCCTGGAAGAATCTGTGCGCCGGAGGTCTGGAGTATTGGTAGAACTTCTTCAAGAGTATAATCAGGAAAACTGACACTGTCACAGGTAAAGGGGGCAGATGAGGCCGCCTCGTACCTCCTCTGATAATTTCCCCTTCCTGACTCGACTTTTCTGTCACCAAATCATTGTGTTATGGATAAACCACATCCCTTTACGGACCTTAATTTCCAAAGATGCTGTGTGAGGGAGTTAGACCTGACAAATCCTGCTCTTATGTTCTAGAACTTTGCTTCATCCTCCCCAAATCAATCTAACTATTCTTTCCGTAGGCAGCGTTACTGCCTCCAGCACTGCAATCTTTCTCTTCCCTGAGACTGCAAGTTGGAAGCACCCGGGACCAGACCCAAGCGGCAGCCGTCTACACCACCCACAGGACAGAGCAAATAAACGTGTCACAAGAAACTACAACTCCCAACAACCTTCAGTGCCTTACGAAACTACAACTCCCAAGAACCTTCAGTGCCTTAGGAGGGGAGGGATGACCCATGCTTATTTACTCTCGCGAGGAAATTACACCTAATTATCGTTCCCGGCGGGCACCGCGCTAAAAATCACCCAATAAGCTCTAAGTATAAAACATCGCGAGGCTTCGGCGAGATTTGCCTCTATAAGCCCGTGGGAACGGGGGTTCGACGCCCCTTTCACAAGATGGCGCCGAAGGCGAAGAAGGAAGGTGCGTGTTGGAGCTGGGGCCGACGGCTGGTTTACCTGGGATCCCCATGCCAACAAACGGCGGGGGGGGGGGGGGGGGGGCGGGGGGG